CTTCGCTTCGACGTTATATCGATTCAAATCGAGAATACCTATGAAAGTTTTTAAAATCCATCTTCAACGTACCACGTAAAAAATTGTGGAATTGAAATGCTGCCAGAAAGATGGGAAAAAGTAGTGGCTAACGATGGACAATACTTTCATTGACATGCTTTTTACGACTTTTTTTAAATAAAGCATTAATTTTCACGAAAAATCAGCGAGAACTTATTCAAGGTCCTAATATTAAACCGCAGAATAAATTCAGTCCTTCATTGCCAATTCCTAACAATGCCATTATTATCACAATTCTACAGTTTATTTCATAAGCACTATTAATCGAAGAACAAGACTTTATATACAGTGTCCGCCACCAAAATCTGAACAAATTTAAATTTGAATTTTTCGTCTCATTTGACTTCGGCGGTAGGTTGTTGTTGACGTTCGGGCAAGTCAGATGTTTGTAGTAAGCATACATAACCTAAAAATGTCCAAGTAGATAAGATTGAGTGCGGAGTATAACCGAAGAGGGACGATAACAAAAGGTCTTCGCGTTGGACGTTGGCAGACCGAAATTATTTGGTTCTTCGCGTACCCGAAATCGACCATATATGATATTGCGGCTAAAAATTTGACTTCAGAGACATCCGAAAAAAGATTCTACCAACCCGACGAAGAAGAGCCATTCGAAGGAAAAGTCGGTAAGGATTCAAGAGCTTATTTCAGAAAACCAGAAAGTTGCCTTTGACGAAATTGGCAAAAACATTGGGAGTGACACTGATAATGTGTCGAATTGCTGAAGAGAATGCTTTAAGTACTATGTGATAAAAGTTCGACAAATGCTCTTCGAGGCTGCTATGATGAGCAGAGTTGCTCGCTATAATTTACTTCTGTGTTTTGGTCTAAGGAATTCTGGTTTCCGAACAGTCCAGATTTGAATCCGTTGGACTACTACGTGTGGAGCGTTATTGAACGAGTGACCAACAAGTCGAGACATCCCAACGTGACATCTCTCCAGGTCGCTATCGTGGCGGCATTTGCCAATTTGGACAAGGACGCGTTGCAGAGAACGTGCCAGCGCTTCAAGATCGAAGATCGAAGCAGTTATCGAATCAAAAGAATGTTGTATAGATTAATTTTACTTTAAGAGGATACGCGCGGCGTCTCGCCGTTACCAAGTATGCCCTCCTCCTTCTATAATGGAATTCCTCTCGGCGCGTTGCAAAACGTGTCCAAGCACCCGGGGGCTGCCAAAAAATTTGACCCCGGGGCTTTTTCTATGATTTGCACCATATGAGGAGGGGCAACGGTGAAGACCGGCATATATGGATAGCAAGTCTTAAAGAGTAGTAACCTTTGACTTTGAGAGACTGACAGCTGTACCGTTTGGTATAGTAAGAATGTTTCCCTCTGTAGTCGCCGTGCGCTCGGGATCGCGCCAGAGATGTCGCTTCCGAACGGCATCTCTGAGCGTTATCTAGAAAGAGGAGAGTGTGGAGCGTCGTGAGCGTGGAGCGTTAAGTAGCTCAGTAATTTAGCGAAAAACATAAGCGAAAAACCCGGATTCGAGTGCCGGTCTAGCAAATCGCGCTTTCAATATTTTTTTCTCTCTGCAACGAAAAGATACGCAGGTTCCAAACGCACAGCGTCCCGCCGCCACCTAGTACGTTCTCCTCTTTTGATTCCAGTTAACCAATAAATTCGCACGAAATTCACCGATTGTCATGCTCTGTTCTTATTTATCCTGCGAAAAACTATTGGCTTAAGATTAAGGAGATGCTGAATACCGACATTATCTATTTTTCACTATTCTTCCATACGGCTGCATAGAATTGAAAATGCTTTTACAGAGTAAAAATAGAGATGTCAATGTATACAAAACAGCCCATAAATATAGTATAAAAAACGAACAAAAATTTTGTATTTATCTTTCATACGCCATATTTCCGCTTCATATAAATAATGCTGAATGCGTGCGTAGGAAATGAAAGTCATTTTGTACGCAGGGGACATTAGTGAACATTACGAGGCCATCAGATAATGACTTGAAGGACTAGATGAAATAAATAGTGAAAAATATGATTTGCTCGCACACATGCGGACGTGTATTTGGGGCTCCTCATCATTACGGTAGAGAGGAGCGGTATTGTATTTCCAACATTTCCCTAGAGAGAGAGCGCTGATTTTCATCACGCACAAAGCGTATATCCTCTTTAGCATACTGATGAGAATCTTTCCAGGGGCTCGATTGCAGACGATATGTGAGCGAAATACGCATGCGAAAATCTATAGTATATGTAACATGAATTATAGATCTTCGCAAGTGCATCTCACTCGCACGCCGTCAGGAATCGGGCCCCAGATACACGTTTGCATGCGTGCAACTAAATCGTATTTTTCACTATTTTTTTTTATATAGCACTTTAAGTCGTAATCTGATGGCCTCATAATATTCACTAATGTTTACTGCGTGCAAAATAACTTTAATTTTCTACATACGCACTCACAATTTTTTATACGAAGCGAAAATATGATGCAGTGTATATAAGGCATACCCAGTGAGAACGCTGACGTCGATTCGACATCTAACCGATGTCGAATTGACGTCAGCGTTCTCGCTGGGAAGCGGAGGGAGAACAACGCTGCATCTTAGATCTGGCAATTCTGCGCTGCGTGCGTGGAATCGAAATTGCATTACTGATGGGGCCGCGTCGAACATACGCTGCCATCTAGCGTCTGTCCTAAACCGACGCGTACTACATTACTGACGCTTTCGAAGTTCGGGATCGCGTTTAGCATTCCCTTAAGAGATGGTGATCCTATTCTAATAAATTCGCCCGCACACATTATCGTAAGGTCACTTCTCGTATCTATTATTGCTATTAGAACATCGTTCACTAATCTTTCGCGTTCTTCAGCTGTTGTAAATAAGTTACTGCCTAAGAATTCGTCGTTATTTTCCGCATAGCAGAACACTTCGACATCACATGCCCGTGCTTGCCACACTCGAAGTACTCAGTACCTTTATCTTTTGATGGATAATTCATACTTACATGGTCATTCTCTCCGCAATTAAAATATTTCTTAATTATTCTATATTTTCGATTATTTTTACTTCTTACCTTACACCTATCATTTACGATTAACGTCTGTAACGTTCTTATTGTTTCTATGTTTAACTGCTGCATTGATTTCGTTACTCTTAAATGAAGTCGTAGGTTTTCGATCTTCCAACCGAATATTATGCAAAGCTTGTAATCTGTTCTCTTGTGGTGAACTCTTGCACTCTCACCATACCTCGCAAGTTCACATTCGGAACACTATTGATTATGTATTCTAATATCTCTTTGTTGTCCACTTTAATTCGATTTGCCATTATAACCTTTTCGTGCACATAGTCCTGAAAAGTCTTCCTTCTTCTCCATACTTATTTCTCGAAGTGTTGTCCAAAATTTTTTATTAATAATGTACAAAAAGTTTTTTTGTAATTTTTACATTTTGACGAATAGAATTTTGTTTAAATAAATTGTTCATTTTGTCCGGGTTTTGGCGGACCCTGTATGCTGTACCGCACTCATACATCGCAGCAATTTTGAATCCTAATCCTCGTGGGTTTGCTTCCTTGAACATGATATCTTTATTACATTTTTTGCAGTTCACTAAAACATTCATTGTTGAAAAACAAAGAAAAAAGTAAAATGCGATAAGCGTGCGTATTATCGACAGTGATTTCTCTATCGCCCGAAAGTAGTAATTTTTTAGCCGATGTATTAGTAAAATTAGTTTCATCCTCGTGTGAATAACGATTGCCAGTAATCTGTTTTTGCGCTGTCTATCCGCTCGGGCCCGGTCACCTCTGCTACCTTTCCTATCCATTGATTTCCTATTCTATTAATGTGTCTGAACTCAAACGTAATCTATTTCAAAGCCGAAAATGTACTAAATGTATAGTTTTGTAGCAGGTATTACATTTCTCTGATATACTAACATACGAGATAACGGGAGACTAAATTCTAAGAACAACAATAGATTCAACCAAGAGCTCCTTCTGACCGACCGCCGAACGCATTCATCATATTTGTGCGCAGCGCGGCTACGGGACTTATATCTTTATAAGTACTTAGAAACTAGCTATAATACTTTGGAATATTATTTTTAAGAAGTTAAATTTTAAGAAAATGCGTTTAAAAAGTTCGAAATTTTTTTATCTGACGCACTAGGGAAATTCCTTAAGATCATTTCTTTCACCTAGTTAGTTGATCTTACCTTTTTGATACACTCTGTATGTAGATATATCTCTTTTGAATTATAATGTTCTTTTTGAATTATAATATAAATTGTTATATTGCTATATTGTAGATATATTTCGAGAAAGTTTACAATATCTGAAATATCTTGATAACTTTATTGCCTTAAAATCGTAAAGTTTATGTTGCAGTATTTGTAAAATGCTCAAAAGATGATGTACGATCATCAACAATAATGAAGAACATTTCGATGATTGATCTCTTAATTTTTTTGAATAAAGTTTTGAGTTTATTAAAAAATTGGAAAGAATTCATTTCTGTATCTAATATTATGAAAATTGAAAGTCTCCACAAACAATGATATTTTTTGACATTTTTGCTAAAGAAATTTGTCTCTAAATTGCTTGAAGAATCTTTTGATAAAATTAAAGTTGTGAGTTCTAGAACTATATATACTCATGCATATAATTTAATTTAACCTAATCTAATGCAACTTAACCGTAAAGGAAAAAAAGAACATGTGAATCATGAATAGAAAGATTGTCCGTCTTTTTTAATGAGTTTAAGAACGTATTCGTTCTGTTCAATAGGAGAATTCTCCTCAATGGAAATCAGATTCTCTTATTGGATTTGTTGTTCTTGTTAATGGGAAAAAATGGTAACGTTATTAAATGAAGAAAATTTTATTATAGATCATGTAGTTTATCCTATTTTGAGTACGTGATATCATAGAATGTTATGAATGTTTTTTTTTGTTTGTTTATCTAGATCCTGATTATTGGTGGAGGACCATGTGGTTTACGATCGGCCATAGAGGCACAATTGTTAGGTGCCAAAGTTGTTGTTATAGAGAAAAGAGACCGGATGTCTAGAAACAATGTTTTGCATCTGTGGCCTTTCGTTATCCAGGATCTACGAGGTTTGGGTGCAAAGAAGTTCTTCGGAAAATTTTGTGCTGGTTCCATTGATCATATCAGTATCCGGCAACTGCAATGTATCTTATTAAAAGTTGCTTTGATCCTCGGCATTGAGTTCCATGAGAATGTGAGCTTTGATTCTCTGATTCAGCCACCCAACAATCAGGAGGATGGCAGTAAGTAATCAGTAAAATATTTTAGAATTATTGTGTTTTAGTATACAAACATTACATACAGGGTAAGTAAAAAGTCCCGGACTGGTGAAATATCTCGAAAACTAAGTATTTACGAAAAAAAAAGTTTCCTACAAAAGTTTTAAGTGATCTATTCATTAGTCTGGTCAGTCTGACTTCGCGTAGCATCGCCAAGGTCAGGTCAAGGTCAACTTTGCTTTTTTAAATAGAAATATGCATTTTTTTATTACGGAATTTTATTATATGTAAAAAAACAAACAACTTTTGTTTGAAAAATTTTTTCATACGACTATTTTTTAAGATATTTGTGGAAATATCTACAAAATTATTGGTTTCAATAAATTCTTACTCGAATTTTATCAACTTTACCGAAAAATGGCAAGAGATAAAAATGGCTTATTTTGTTGCTTCCGAACGGCATCTCTGAGCGTTATTTAGATAACGTTACTTAAATTAAATTATATACAACACAAATATAAAACATGTATTCCAGAGATGTCCTAGAAATATTCAGATATTTCTGAGATATTTCTAAGATACATTTTAGGATATCTCTAGAATATACTTTGGATTCGTGTTGTATGTAATTTAATAAAAGTAATAATAATGCATTGTTCTGCGATAATATCACGATAAAGAGGACCGTTTCATATAAACAATTAACAAAAATGAATAACGGAGAGGTGGGATCTCTTCTATACTAAATATAGTAATTAGATTGTTCTTTTTATTGACATTCATGTTTTTTGCATTAACTGATAAGAATATTTGGTTTCTATCTGTATTAGACATATCTTAAATAAGAATCCAAGAAAAATAAAACAATATATTTAATGCAAAAGATGATTTCCGTTTCCGGTGTATTGGATGACTGGCAAGTTAAGCGTGTGGAGAGAGTGTGAGAGAAAGAGAAAGGATTGGTGTTGAGGTGTGAGTGTGAGGAAGAGAGGGATCGTGAGGGGAGTGTGGGAATGTGTGGGTGACAGGGAAGGAAGAGTGAAAGGGTGAAAAAGTGAGGACGAAGTTGGAAGGCAGGAGAGGTTAGAATAGAGAAGGAGTGAGAGACATCTGGATGAGTGAGCAGGAACTGGAAAGCGAAGAAGGTAGCGGTGGGGTGGCAGGCAGAGGTAAGCAGGAGCATAGACTAGAGATAGATAGGAATGATAGGATAATGAGATAGATAGGAATAGGAAGAAAAGAAATAGTAAGATCAGAAAGAGAGGATAAGAGGAGAGATTGGAGAAGAGAGATATGGAGGAAAGGAATGGAGAGTCAATGCAGAAGGAGAGAGGAGGTTTGTTAAAGGAGGAAAGGAGAGGAAGTGTGGGGATGTTGGAGGAGATGTTTAAGAGGAAGAGGGAGAAGAAGGAGGAGCAGCGGGGAAGGGAGGAGGAGGAGGAGAGAGCTAGGAAAAAGCAGGAATGGTGCGTTTTTAAGAAAGAGAAGAAGACATTGAGGTCGCCACAAAAAGAGAAGGGAGGAGGTGAGATGGAGGAACTAGAAAGAGGGAGGGAACTGGATGATTGGAGGAAAGAAATGAAAGAGGGTATGAGGGAAATGGTGAAAGTAATAAAAGAGATGAGGGAAGAGATAGACAGTCAAAGGAAAGAAATGAGGGAGGAGTTAGAGGGGATAAGGAGATTAATGGGAGAGAAGGAGGAAACGTGGAGAAGAGAGAATAAGAAGAAGAAGAATAAGAGGAAGAATAAAGAAACTGGAGGAGAGAATAGAGAGGAAAGAAGAGAAATTGATGAGAGTTACGGATGAAGAGGAGTGAGAGGGAGGAGAGCTGGTGAAAGAGATGAGAAAGATGGAAAGGAGGGTGGAGATGAGAGAAAGAGAGGAAAGAAGGAGAAATATAATAGTGAAAGGGATGAAGGGAGAGGGGAAGGAAGTAGAGGGGAGGATAAAAGAAATTATAAGGGGGATGGGGATAAAGGGGAACATAAGGGAGGTGAAGAAAATAGGGAGAGGGGGTGGATGGGTAAGGGTTGGAATGAAGAAACTGGAAGGGAAAAAGGAGATAATGAGGAGGAAGAAGAAGTGGGAAAAGAGGAGGGTGTGGATAAGAGATGATTTAACGTGGAAGGAAAGGAAGATGAAGTGGAATTTGAAGGAGATTGCTAGAAGAGAGAGGGAAAAGAGGAGGGTGTGGATAAGAAATGATTTAACGTGGAAGGAAAGGAAGATGAAGTGGAATTTGAAGGAGATTGCTAGAAGAGAGAGGGAAAAGAGGAGGGTGTGGATAAGAAATGATTTAACGTGGAAGGAAAGGAAGATGAAGTGGAATTTGAAGGAGATTGCTAGAAGAGAGAGGGAAAAGAGGAGGGTGTGGATAAGAAATGATTTAACGTGGAAGGAAAGGAAGATGAAGTGGAATTTGAAGGAGATTGCTAGAAGAAAGAGGGAAAAGAGATGGAGGGTATGGGTAAGATATGGAAGAATACAGATAGGTAGGAAGTGGTGGAGTTAGGAGGAGGAGAGATTGAGATAGAGTGACGGGGAAGAGAAGTGAGGTGAGATCTAGGAGGAATCAGATGAGAGGAGGAGGGGAGGAAGAAGGAAGGGAGGGAGGGGAGCGGGCGGGAGGAAGAATGGAAAGTAGCGTTTTGGAATGTGGCGGAATTGGGAAACAAGGACAAGGAATTCTGAATGAGGGTGAAGAGATGGGAGGTGGTGATGAAACGTGGTTAGAGAAGAAGGGTTGGGAAAGATTGAAGGACAGACTACAGAACGAATATAGATGGAAACTACAGATGGCAAAAAGAAGGAACAGGAAGGTGAGGGCGAGAGGGAGGATGTTAATGGGAGCGAAGAAGGACGTAGGGGAGATAGAATTAGAGGAAGAGGGGGAGGAAGTTAAAGGGAGGATAAAAGGGGAAATTATTAGAGAAGGATGTAAATGGGTGATGGTAGGAGTGCATGTAAATGGGGATATAGGAAGGAAGCTAGAAGGATTGGAAGAATGGATGGAGAATGGAGGAGAAGGGAGAAGGGTTACGTATACGGGAGGAAATGGGAAGTTAATGATTGATTATATACTGGGGTGTGGGGAGATATTGGGAGAGGTGATAAGGATGTAGGTGGATGAGGAGATAGATTCGGATCATCACCTAATAATCGTGGAGCTGAGAGGGGAGGTTAGGAGAAGGGAAAGGCGGAAGATGGGAAGAGCGGGAAAGTAAGTAGAGGTAAATGGCGATGAGGAAGGAAGGGAGAAATTTGAAAGGGAATTAGAGAGGATTCAGACAGATAGGAAAGGAGGACAAGAGGAGATGGTGGAAGTGATAAAGAAAACTTTGAGAGGGAGAAGGAGAGGGGTAAAAGGGGGTGAGACAAGAGAAGATGGTGGAGTGAGGAATGCAGGGAAAAGAAGAAGGAGGTAAGAAGAGAGTTGAGAAGGTGGAGGAGGGGAGCGAGAGAGCCAAGATTGGATGTAGGGAGAAGAAGAAAGAGTATAAGAGGCTTTAAGACTTTTTAAGAGGAAGAGGAAAGGGAGGTAATGGAAGCAAGACAGAGTAAAGGGTTTGGGAGTTGGTGAAGAAATGGAGGGGGGAAGAGAGGAAAGATATGACTAGAAGTGGAAGGGAAAGAAATTGGAGAAGGTGAAGAAGTTTAAATATTTAGGACATGTTTTGAAGAGAAATGGAAGGCAGGAAGCGCAGGTGAGTGATAGGAAAAAGAGGGCAGCGGTGGTAATGAGAGAGGTTTGGGGAATAGGGAAAAGAATATGGGGGAAGGATTGGAAAAGAAGGTTATGGCTGTTCGATAGATTAGTGTGGACAGTGATGGGGTATGGAGCAGAGATTTGGGGATTGAGGGAGAGAGAGAAGTTGGAGAAAGTTCAGGAAAGGTTTGTGAAGTGGACAATGGGAGTTGAGAGAAGAACACCGGGGTATATGATAAGGGAGGAGGTGGAAAGGAGAAGATGAGAGGAAGCGCAGGGAAGAGGGCTTGGAATTTTTAGAGGAGACCGGAGAAGGGAGAAGGAAGGGTAATGGCAAGGAGATGTTGGGAGGAAATGAGAGAGGTGGAAAAAGGGCAAGATCGTAGGGAGCTGGGAGAAAGAAAGGAAATTGTTTATGGGGGGGGGAGAGAGAGAGAGAGAGAGAGAGAGAGAGGGGGG